GAAATTCTGTGTGACCATTCAGTTCAAGGAATCACTATGAAGCCATTCGATCAATAAGGGTTTTCTCCGCTATGTGTAAACATGACTGAAATAAAGCTGTCATCAGTTTGCCGTTTGATCTTGCACACACAAAACCAGGCATGAATTTCCGTGATATTTCTCATTTTTGTGTATTTCTGGATTCATTTTAGGTCAATTTAACTGTTAAGTTATTCCTTGATGAGGAAATATTGAATGTTTCTCGCAGTCGGACAACAACCAGCTAAAACACAGTTGTGTAGCCATCAGCGGATCCTAAGTGATTGCGCAGGAGCCGCAGTTGTACATCCTCCGTTTATAGACGATTGGTTATTATCTTATGAACGGAAGAAAATACTGTTGCTGAACGAATGCCGAAGGATAACATGTTTAGTGCTGGCTACTGGATTCATTTTGAACGGTACACTCCAGTGATGCCGATCCTGGAGTGCAAAAACTGATGGTATGATTCATAACTCGTTCGACATTATTTGCTATATTATTTGCTCTGATATATACCGAGGTGACGAAGAAATATTCTAAAACTGATCAACTTAAAGGAAGTTGATTCTAAGAATTGTAGAAGTTGAAAGTCGGTAACAAATGATGAACAATCTATCTGTACGCCAGTGTGCTCTACTCCGCTCCCAATGAAATATTGCCCATCCGAGAATTACGTAATTGCGGCTACGATCCTTTTTGCGACACCACCTCTTGAGCCATATGCATGGGTAAAAGTAGTACCTACCTCAGTTCAGCAAGCCCATATCGAGAATGTAAACCAGAATTGCAATGTAAGGAAGCAAATAAGCGACCGAGTTCGACTATGCGGTGTAAGTAAGTCTATGGAATGACCAAATTAGATGACACAATCAAGACTGAATGGAAATCTGGAAAAACTGAATGTTGATCGTGTGTTTCGTGGCATTACTATTCTCACTGCGCTAGCGTCGGTTGCGATTGTCACTATTGGGTATCGTTTCATTCGACCAATATAAACAGTTCACATCATGCAAACCAAATCAGTTGACTACACCGTAGACCGATTTATTATACTCATACGTACCTTCGTTACGTTGTATCCTGATCTAACGAATTGTATCACTCTGGAGCTAGTTTGTTTACTTGTGTATATGCATACCTTGTCACATTTAACTACATGCATACTGGCAGATACCTAATACTTTCGTCCAGCTTTACTGTTTCTTCATATTGTCCTACATTTCTCTCCCAAGCACGACCGTCTTCGGGATTTACGTTTGAAATTAATCGAACATAGAATAGGGAAGATAATGACTGCTTTTATTTTATAACTACAACGAGGAATAGATGGTTTACTGCTTGCCGTTTCTGTGTGTGTGTGTGTGTACTTGAGCAATTCGGATCACACCGCGGTGGTTAAAACTTGAGTCAAACTTTCGGTCAATTGTTCGTATTTGTCGATCCATCCTAGGCCAATTGTACTATTTATTGAAACATGCAACATAACCTTTTTTACCGAGTCACTTAAACAAAAGCTAACCAACAAACTAAACGTCTTCCGATAATTTATTTCTTGAAAAATCGTTTGGGCTTACGATGTGAACATTGTGTCGAGAGATTTATCCCGTAGTGAGCTGATAGTCACAATATCCGGAGGGCACCAGCGAATAAGCACATTCGGTGTGC